AAATAATACCTATAATGGCGTACAGCCTCAATATTTTACCAAACCTCAGTTGAGGATGACAAAAGAAGGCAGACGTCGTGTATGTCTTACATATATGTAAATATTACTAATGCACTAACTCACTTGTCTCGACCTTTGTACACACAAAATCTGGTTATTATATTTCAGTCCATACCATGGTATGGATGAAATATATTGTGTTCTCTCATGTTTCTCCTCCTCCTCCTTCTTCTCCTGCCAAACAGTCAAAGGGATTCAACTCCGCCATCATTCAGCCAAATGACTTGAAATTTGGCATGGAGGTAGAATGGGCCAATGCCCCCAGGCGTTTTTTTTTCATTTTTTGATACATGCCTTTGAAAAATTCTTATGAAGGTTTTTTTTGGCATTTTTCGCCAGAAAATGGATTTTTGGATCCTGAGCCCTGGTTTTACAACCAAATGATCTGAAATTCGGTATAAGGGTACCTTGAACATGTGTCTACAGAACAGCAGTCACATATTAGGCATACACCACTTCCAAATGACTCATTTGGGGGAATTTAATGGCTATTTTCAGCAAAAAAAGGGCCAAAAGTGCTATACCCGTTCCATGTTCTATCTAAAGAATGGCACGTTCCATCTGCCGTTGGCCATGGAACACGTGTTCCATTGCGGGTTACCTGAGGTCACATTGCACGTAAGTCGTGCGTAATGACCCACACATTCAATTTTATGTGCCTAAGACCTTCAAAATGTATCAAATCTCATCATCGTTAGTATTTGCATACCTGTAAGAAGATTAGTAAAGCTTTCGAGATTCAATGTGCTTGTTGTTGCATCTTTGTTCTCAATTACATAGCTACTATATAATTCATTTATTTGAGAATCTTTGCCAGTTTTACACTGGGGTAAGTTTGGAATAGTCCACTTTTGCGTGGGAGGGAGATGGACTGAAATATGCTGTATTTGCTCCCAAGCAAATGTCGGCCTTTCTAGTTTATGTTCCCTTATCTATTATCCGTTCCATTCCTTTATATGTATGCAACCTGCTGTTGATCCCAGCAATGGGGCTAAGCAGGAATGAAGAAGAAGTGACTTATAATAACCCTTACGTCAGTAGTGAAGATCACAAGAGTGTTGTCCCACAGTCCCGCATTCTTCATTGCCATGGTAACGTTCCCGACAGCCTCGTCCAGGGCGCTCACCATACCTGCAACACATTCATTGGACAGACCATAAACTATCTATTCGTACGTCAGTGAAGAGTAGACACCCAGGTAATAAGATTCGCCAAAAGCGAAGCAACTGGATATGATTTTGCAAACGGTCAGACACTGTAGACTTGTCAGAAAGGCAGGTTTATAAGCACGAACTTCAGTCAATAGTTCTGCCTTTTGCCTGCAAGTCTCTAGTGTCACTGACGAAAGGTAGTAATAGTGGATGCTACCTGAAACGTCTGACCGTTTCCCAAATCATACCCAGTTGCTTGAGTAACTGTTTTGGGCGTATCAATTAATATTTTTTTGGAAATTTTGGTTACGGTCCAAAGCTTGAAAGACTTAGTTCTGTATAAAAATACTAAGTTATATTTCTCTTTTTTGTCGTTTATTTCAGAATAGTGAAACTCAACCTACCGAGAAGTTTTCTCCTGTTTTCATCTTGAACGTTCGCGTAGATGTCTTCGAACCGTTGGGGAACCTGTGAGCGGCAATCTTACATTCAGTTCATGAATTGAAGGCATATTTTGTCCCTTCGTGGTATCTTTCGCAATACATATACACAGAATATTTAGAAACAAAGTACACTAGTTCATTGCGTCGTTGATAAATGAGTTCTGTCATACTTGAATACAAAGTGTTTTTGCCATGAATTACATCAACATCAAAACGCTAACTCAGAATTTGTTCTTGAAGATAACCATGGAAGCTATATGGATTTCAAAAAGGCTTCAGCTAGTATCAAAACCATCTGCTGAAAAGAAACACTAAAAGTATGTCTTATCCATCGACACGACAGACAAAACGTTGATTTCTTGTAATTCTGTATTCTGTTCTATGAGTGTTATGCACCCTATATATGAATGAACTTTATTGCACAACAATCGTACAAGGTACAATGTATGGCAGTACTACAACACTAAACTAGTCTAGAGAAATACATCAAAAACATGTCCAATAACAGGTAGGTAACATAGTGTGTTGATATATAATTATGTATTAATTATTTGATCTCGCATATGTAATGAGCTATGGAGAAATTGACCTATGTAAACAGAAATAGAGGTTGGGCATGATAACAATACATGGAACATATCGAGCTGTGTATCAGGTAGTATGAGGTCCGTCTTAGTAGTTATATTCTGTAATAGCACATCTCTTTCTTTACTATAGGTAGGACAAGTCATAACAAAATGAAATTCATTTTCAACATTTAGATTACATGTGGGACACAGTCTCTGAGTGGCTGGTGTGTTTTGGTGTCTTCCTTTTCAATTTGAAGACAATGTGCACTTATTCTCAGTTTTGTTATGCTAATTGTAAACGATTTGTTTTGTATTGATGTAAGATAATCTTCCATGCCGAAGTGTTTCTTTATTTTAGAATATGTTTGGAGTTTGCTAGTATTTCTCAGTGTTCTCTCCAGCCAGAAAGAAACGTGTCCTTGAGACGCTGTTTAAATATGTTTCCAAAATGGTTGGCATTAACTGCGGGTTAAGCCAAACATTTTGGAACCCATGTCTACATAATATATCCTGAACGTGAGTAGCCCAGTCATGTTCTTCTTCGACTGAAGTGTCGTATGCTTTTTTGACAAGTCTATCGTTTGGTAAATTATTTATTCTAATCCAGTATTTAATCATTTGTGTTTGGCTGTCCACGAATAAAGGAAAACTCCTAATTCGCCCCCTCACAGCGGCATTTACAGACCCTTTCGGGACATTTAGCAAAATTTTGCAGAAATTCAAAAGTACATATTCTAGGTCAGGGATTTCGTATGCAATTTTTGGTTGATCTATTGTTATATTTTGGTTCCGTAGTAAAGTGTCTGACTGGTAAATCACGTTCAGTTTATCACTGTATTTCTTAAATCGTACAACAACAGGTCGGGTACAGGACGGATCTGATAACTTCCCCTGGCGACTAACTCGTAAAATATCAACTTCCGGTCCTAATATCGGGCTAAGTATTGTGGTTATATGTGTTCTGATCTTTTCACTGGGATGTTCTTTAATTCCTTTAAAAATCAAGTCTCTACATTGTGCATTTATGCCGGTAAGTTCTCCGCAATACAATAAAATAGGTTTAACCAAACTGTTGAATAAGTCAATAGCTAAAGGTATGGACGGGTTGGAGTTTGATGATAATATTGATTTTAATTTAAAGGATGCCCTTAGAGCTTTTAGTCTTAACTGTTTGATGGCACGGCTAAAGGACCCTGAGGGTGTGATATCTATTCCTAAGTATGTGTAGAAGTTTGTTATTTCTAACGTTTGTCCCTGAGATTTGAAAGGTGAATGTTCATTTTCAACTGTCCGTCCATTTTTAGAAAAAATCATCACTTTTGTTTTACTTTTATTAATCGACAGTTTCCAAAGTGAGCAGAATTGGTCTAGTGTCCTCAGACACTCTTTTAAGCCCGATTCTGATTTTGAAACAAGTACAAGGTCATCGGCCCAAAACATGCTGTTAATAGGAGTGTCTTTTAGTGTTAGGGGATCGCAGGACGTGGGGTCTAGTAAGGACGAGAAATCATTTATGAATATGTTGAAAAGAAGAGGGCTCAGATTACATCCCTGTCGCACTCCGCAGAAAGACTGGAAGTAGGGTGACAGACCGTGTGAGGTCTTGACACAGTATTCTATATTATGGTACATTGATTTTATTAATTTAAATAAGTTCCCCCCTATTCCCAAAGATAATAATTTATAAAATAATCCGTTGCGCCAAACCGAATCAAATGCTTTCCGAAAGTCTACAAAGCAGGCGTATAGCTTACCACCGGGTTTGAAAGTTTGTTGGTCAATTAATGTTTTGAGAACAAAGACATTGTCACATGTTCTGAAGTCCTTTCTAAATCCGGATTGAAAAGGAGAGAGCAGGTTTGAGCTTTCCATGAAATGTTGTAAACGTTTGTTGAGGATGAAAGTAAATAGTTTGCCAACACAACTAGAGATAGCTATTCCTCTGTAGTTGGTTGGGTTTGACGGTTCACCGCTTTTGAAGATTGGGACAAGTGTGCTTTGGCTCCACTGCTGAGGAAAGTGTCCGGACTGTAGTAATATATTAAACATTTTTTTGAGTGGTTGATTGAGTTGGGGGGCACTATTTTTCAACATTTCATTAATTATGGAATCTGTTCCACTAGACTTATTGTTTTTTAAACTAGATAATGCTTTTTTGATTTCCTCTTCCGTTATCTCAAAGTCTAGTGGATTTTCTGTTTCAAGTTCAAGTGATGAGATGATTTTGTCGGCGTTTTCTTTTTCTTTTGCGTCGACTATGGTGTTTTTATTTATTGCTTTGAAATGGTCTAGCCATTCGTTTGTAGATATTTGTTCTACTGCCTCATCCTTGCTTCTATTTTCGAAGTTTCGAAGTTTATTTATTTCGTTCCAAAATGATTTTGGTTCCTTTTTCGCTAATTTTGCTAAAGATGTCATTTGTATTTCATTAAACTGTTTTTTCTTCTTTTTTATCAGTTTCTTATATTTCTTAACCTTGTATACATAATCCTGTCTTTTATTTTGTTTCCATGGAAATTTCCTGACTTCAGCGGATTGAGATGCTGTAGTCATACTGTCTCTTATGTGACTGGTGACTTTATGTATTAATGTACTACATGTATAGGGCCACAGGAAGAATAGCTGTAGTTTCAAGCTAATTTTGGATTCAGAGTCAAAGGTATGTGCAAACTTCGGTATTTTAATTTACCTCCAATGGTTCGTGCACGTTCTGGAAGGGCAGGTACAGAAACAGGGGTGTGTCTGTGGGGTGTTTCTCAACCACGTCAATGATCCGGTCCGTGAAGAAGTACTGGAATGAATGAATGAGTGAATTAATGAATGAGTGAATGAATGTATAAATGAATGTATTAATGAATGTATAAATGGATGCCTTTATGTAAACTGCAATGTCCTGTGAATATATGACAACATTTAGAAATTTCACTAATAATCTAAAACAAATTGTCATCTCCTTCTACATCGTCTTTTGACAGGTAAAGTAATGATAGGAATGTTCACTTACCGTGCCGTACTGTCCATTCTTTGTATTGACGACTTCCTTGTCGTCTCTTAGGTCCAGTCCACCAGCTAAACGGATGGAAATAAATACGTTACAGACGGGCAGATTACGTTATAAGCAGGTAACGTTATAAGTTTCTTCAATGTTTCATTTGCAAGACCAAGAGCGTTAGTCCGCTCTATGTTATCCAGGTTTGTGCTTCAGCATACTAGTACCTTTAATACTGGATGAACTGTTTCTACCTGAAGACTGTGTATAATATGGCTGTTACGTTTGCCTGTGTCGACTACGAGTTTAACTGGGTGGTTGATGTGGTTGATAAGAAATTGCAAAGATTTTTACCGACGACGTGGGTATAGTAGTCCTCATCTGCATTATAGTAACCGTAGAAGGAGTCGAAGCCGCGGTAGGTCGGCGTGTACTTCCAGTTGCAGAAGCCCAGGTGCCACCTAGAAACAGAGCAGATTTACTTTGCTGCCATCGTCGTCATTCATTAAAATGGTGAAAGCATCACTTGAACGGCTTTCTCTTGACGGTAGACGGTATTTGCTGAGAAAGCTTCGAACTAGACTTCCAATGTTCCATAGAATGATTCGAACGCATTTCGAGTGTGCCGCTTTCCAATACCGGATTCGAACGTTGGAACTGATGTTGTCGCACTTTTTTGTTTGTTTTAGGACACTCAAGTGTTGGCACATTTTGCACTGAACCGGTAGGGACCGAGGGTATACACCGCATCACTCTCGGTTATAACTCCGCATCACCCTCGGTCCCAACTCCGCATCACCCTCGGTCCCAACTCCGCATCACCCTCGGTCCCAACTCCGCATCACCCTCGGTCCGTATGGCGGATGATAGGGAATACATCGTGTAGTATTCTAACTGTTATATGGATCAACTAGAGAAGTAACATTTGCAAAGCAAATGCATAATGTTTACCTTCGGACATTAATGGTCTGCTCTGTTAATTCTTACTCAAACACATTCATATAACGTTACATGTACTACTAGTATGGTGACAGGAGCAGAGCAGACCATGAAATTGCAACATGATGTAACCCAACACCAGTCACCATAGTGACAGATGTCAACAAATCATGTGATTGGTCAGGTCATAGGTTACTGTTTGGAGAAGAAGAAGAAGAAACTGAGCAAAAACAATATGTTTTCCTTCGGTAAACATAATGAATGAATGAATAAAGACCTTTATTGTACATAATAAATAGCTACGTACACAGACAATATTCTGAGAGCAGACGTACTTGCCCACCATGTGAGTGGCGTACCCCAGCTCCTTCAGCTTCTCGGGAAGCATGGTGAAGTTAGACGGGATGGCCTGAGCCTGCTGGGGGAAGAACACCAGGTGCTGCAAAACATAATACAAGAGACAAACTCTCAGCCTCATCTGTTGGATTATACCACTTCACACCCTTTGAATGAATGAATTATTTACGTGTCTTACGACTTTTGTCGCCCATCCCATAAACTCCTTTATTTGTTTGTTTTTGTTTGTTTGTTTGTTATCTTGCCATAGGATTGGTTAGAATTTGAATCTGGGGTTCGTTTAATTTTTTTTTAATGTTTGAAGTCGGTACCGCCCCCCGTCCCGGTTGAGAGAAGGTTGGTTTGTCCTGAGTCCAGGTCATCAGTGCATACCAACCTTCTGTCAACCGGGACGGGGGACGGTGCCGACTTCCGACGAACTTTGACCCAGTCAAGCTGATGTCACACGGGCGGAAAAATGACTTGGCCCAGCAGTCAGATACCTGATAAGACCGAGAGATTAGGTTGAGAATTCCGGTGAGTCAAATTGAGTTGGAGAACAGTTCATTTTTCCATTAAAATCTTACGTTCCGAAGTTAAGCAGTGTTTATTCATCTACTTGTTTTATTTACTTATTTGAATTCACTACAAGAAACACAAGTGGAAGGGAGGGCAAACAGGTGTATAGACACCTTTGCAAGTTGCCCTCCTAAACAGTACAATACAATACAATACCATATAAAATCATAAGTTATAAATTACATGATGTACATGTTTGTTGATGTGAACATTAATATCCCAACCTGAGAACCCACGTGGTACGGGAAGTACCCTGTCATGAAGGCAGTTCTGGACCTGCGGGGTACAAGAGAAGAACTGAATGCAGAGTAGTGGTTAATGGACCTAGTACCTGCGCATGAATTAACTTGAATCTTACTGTAACGTTATAGGGTTTATGATACCGGCTATATAGATGCAGATACAGATACTGGTGTGTTGTGGACTATACTAGCCTCTACCAGGCACCGCGGATCGCTGGAAAAATCGTTGAAATTCGCCAGAGAAGATCCAATTCGCGACCCACGGAGCCTGTGCGCGAATTGGATCTTCTCTGGCCGGCTACCTCCCCTGGTACATTATTCCTTTATTTCGGCCAATTTGTACTATTTTTCCAGCGATCCGCGGTGCCTGGTAAAGACTAGGCTATACAGATGCAGTATTAAACTGTCATGAACCAGCTTGAGACGTATCCATGTCCTGACGACACTCACGGTGTACAGACGTAGTTGACGTAAGACTGGTTGAAGATGACGCCCTCGTGCGCCAGCTGGTCCAGAACCGGCGTCTTGACGTCAGGATTGTGCCAGCCGACGTCATTCCAACCTGGACGCAAGAGGTGTGAGTTTTGAGTTTAAAGTTAAAACTTTTGATCCAACACAGTAAAGTTCTCTCACCTAGAGCTCTCGACCAGACCAGTCACTCTGGTCTTCCTCAGTAGACTGACCCAGTGAGGTTTGTCACATGACTTCTTAGGTAAGAGTTTTTTCAGGCAATGACAATGACAATGAAATTAACTGCATTTTCGCGCCCAAATGCACTGTTAGATAACTGAGGTATACGGGTAGGAGCAAGGAAAGGCATTCGACAGTAAGGGCTCATTTTGTATATGTTTTATGTATATGCATATGTGTATGTGTATGCATAATAATTATGTATATGTACATGTGTATATGTGTATATGTGTAACAACTTTGTAATATCAGTCACCGTAACCCTTTAAACAAACATATGCCAGCAGAAACTAAATGAATTTGACATTACCCTTGGCATCATACACCAACAAACGTTGTTAGTCCAACCGCCCTTGTCCTCAGTTGAAGCAGATTTGGACCTTTGAATGTACACGAATGTGTACACAAATCGGTCAGACTGTACACTGTTTGTCTAGCTCCCTCCGCGGCAGCACGCAGAGTTTATATTTGCACAACTTCGGACCAAAGTCCAGCGTATTGAATCGACGATGTCTCGAGATTCGAGAGTGCTCCCCGCCCCCTCCCTCCCCTCCCACACATATTCAACCTGACCAACATTATGAAAAAGCTACCTGAATATCGTGACCAAAATTGAATTTGTAACAGTTTTGTTGAATTAGGTGGAATTAGTTCTGCCCTGCCGGTGAATGTGTCCACATCCCTTTTAACATGACTACATTGTTATTCACGTAACGTTGTATCTACATTCCATACAGGTGTATTAAATACTTTATAACGGTCTTCCTTTTATACCTGTGTCTTGGTGTACACTTGTACACTAATATTTGTAATGTTTAATACTTAGCGTTAACCCTCTGCCAGATCTATAATGCCTCTATCTGCCAGCATTGTCCTTACCTAGTAATCTCAAATCAGATCCTAGGGTGGAAAAAAGGCAGTATCCATTCGCCAGGGAGGGCCCATGCGCCACCCAAGGGGGTAGAAAAAACGGGCCATAAATAAAAGGCAACGATCTTCCCCCATCAACCACACCTCTGCTTAGAGAGTGCTTACCTAGGTCGTCGGCCACGATGAAGAGAATGTGGGGCTTGGTGGTGTTCTCACTTCCGTGTCGTGCGGACACCACCGCCAAGGCACAGGTAAGGAGGAACAGCGTAACACGTTTGGACATGGTGGTGCTCCGGACAGTCTAGTTGCCGAAAGTCTATGCTGGATGTCTGCCCTAAAATTTACAGGGAGAGAAAAATAAACTGCACGGTAAGACTGCTCAGGTCGGTGTGACTGTCACGTGAATTATTAGAAGGCACGCGTTCTGAGGTGAATGTTCTCTAGGATGTTGACCCCCAGTCGTCGCTGTATCGTTAACTGCTGCATCAACCCATATCACAACCCAACGAAATATGTTAGTTAGTTTGTTTGTTGTTTGTTTGTTTGTTTGTTTGTTTGTTTGTTTGAACCATTATCTATTTTAAAAAAAAAGCTAAAACAATATGACTGCAAGCCACTTTTCAGTAAGGTTAAAATCCTACAAAAAATCCATTCAAAAGGAACAGACATTTTTCGTGATGACAACACCCAACGTTATATTTGGGGCAAAAACGACAAGTATGACAAAATCACGGAGTGACGACAACTCAATGAACATAACAAGGTAAAAGTATAACAAGGCCATCAGTGAGATATTTACAATAATGCATGTAGTTCCATGACGTCAGATGCCACGTCTCTGTCTGTCTGACTTGATAGACCTTTGGAGGATCTGATTTCTGTCTCACTTGGCCGAGTTGGCTGAGTCTAATCCAATAATTGAGGTGTTATCCTATAATTGAGGTGTTAGCAATCACTTTAATCCCATAATTGAGGTGTTGATAATAGCGGATAGAGCACACAGCTCGATATGTCGTATGCTTAGTCATTTGTGCAACGTTAGAAATACCATTTTATTGTTGAAAGGTTTCTGTATCTGTATAGCCGGTATAACCGCCCTTCGGTGTAAAACGCCAGCGTCGCGGGCACGCGGAAGATTTTTTACACCTAATCTTTGAACATCTAGCTCTAAACATTGTTTAAAGCTATCTAATGACAATTAATTAATGCCTCTACTGTACTTGGTGACAGTGAGCTAAAGGCAGAAGGTTAACCTACTCCTGCCCAGGCTAGTGACGATCTACGCTGGGAGCCAGACTTGTATCGAGGCGTCAGCCGATTTCCCTTGGCATCCAAGAGTATTACTAGCAATAGGGCAGACCAAACTCCCCTCTGGCTCAACTCCCCCGTACCAGTAATTTAGATAGGCGGGCGAAGGGCTCTTGGGTGCCGAAGGAAAACGACTAACGCCCCGATACTAGTCTGGCTCCCAGGTTGGTGATGATCGCCCATATTCCACGCAATTAAGCTTCAGACGCGTCACAGCCAGTTCTAAGCTGCCGGACCGGCTCGGCATTAATTCCCCCTCGGGGTGTACCAGCCGCAGCACACCCCCGATCAGCGACACGTTTATCAAGCCGTTCTCGGGGGACAGGGCAGGCTCGTCCGAGGTTCAAGCCCGTACCGCACGCCGCTGTGTGTGTCCTACCGTGTGTGTGGCTGGTCCTAGACACCGTGGGACCAGGGTTCTGCTGGATAAGGTACGACTTTCCCCGCAAGAAAAATGTGAGTCATGATGTAGAATATAAACTCACGTCAGACTTAACAGGCCACACCTATGTGTTTACTGTACTATAACCGTTCTGCGTATTACCTGTCTAATGGGGTGAGTAGTCTGTGTATGTTTATGTTTATGCTAATGTTAAGGAATTAAGATACTATCGGTCACTATTTAGCTGACTGGAACAGGCAAGGACAGTGGGTGTCATTATTCTTTACACATCCCCTGAAAATGTGAGATGTAAACTTGGCCTTATTAGCCCTTTATTTGATTGCGACACAGCCTTAATTGATCAATACAGTTGAACAGTTCTGCAGAAAGCCTTGTTATGATAGCATAACCATGTACAACCTTTGAGAGCGGAATTAGGCTGTACAATTTACACCATGATGTCAAACAGTAGGTTATTCTTAAGTAGGGCCCCTTTCCAACAGACGGCGGCGGCTGAGCGACCGAAATTGGATTTGTGTGATCCTTGATTTGATGATTGAAATTTAACACAAGACAATATGTAAGTGTGATTTAAAATGCAACGAAACACACAGAAAACCCCTTCTTTTAAAAACGTACAAGTTCTGTAGCTATGAAATCCTTTTTGCGATCTGTCAAACGTTTGGTCTCTCAGTGGTCGCGGCCTCTAGCGGAAAGGGGGTGTAAAGTGCAATGGCCTTGTCTGTAACTGGTTTAACAACTCACAAGACGTGCTTCTAGGTATACGTATGAGCAACAGAGGACTGTAAGTATAGATACATACAGTTATTACATCCTAATCATTACCTAACAGTATATGTTTACATGGTCACTGGTTGGTGTTGATTATATAGATTGAATTTTACAACGTAACCCGGTATAATTGTAGGCGATTTTAGGCGTTTTTTTTTTATTTCAACATTTCATGACTGGCCACGGTGGCAGCACTCTCAAGTTATAGCAACTTATTTTATGCCGCCACCAACGCAGAGGACGAATACAGGACAAGACAATACTCATTTTCACTTGAGTGAAGTGGGGAAAGTCGTGTAAAGTGCCTTTCCCAAAGGCACGTTGACATGTCAGGACTCGAACCCGGGACCTCTTGGTTCCGAGTTGAGCACGCTGCCACTACGCCACACGACCCCACTTTTTTATGTTGAGATATAAGACTATAATAAGATATTTTGACGCTTCGGAAGGATCTGTAGCATAACCACTGACAGTCTGTCTGACCCTCCATGGTCTGACTGCATGTCCGCTGAACCGGAATGAATACGATGATTGGTTCAAATCTGCCCGGGGCCTTGAAGCAGAGAAAACGTGACAAACGTGAGAAAGTTGCAAGAAAGGTGGGAACGAATGTCCTTTTTAAAATGATGTGAATGCATGTCCTGAGCCAGTCTACGATAGACGTACATTTAAGTACCGAGAATGTCCGAGAAAAAGGTTGGACGGGAAGGTTGTGATCTTCCCTGTTTTCTGACTGACGGGATGTGCCATTTGTCAGAAAAGGACCCATGCATGCTATAAAATTGAAGGAGGCAACAATCTGCCCATCCAACCTCCTCTTGGGAGCAGGCAGCTAAGTCCAACTTAACCGCTTGTTTCTCACAAAATACAATGGTCAAAACCAAAAAATTGTGAGACTTACATGTCAGATTTCTAGGTTCTATGCTGGCTGTACTTTGCACTTTAGCTGAAGGTTATAGTTTTCTGCTTTTTCTCGCTTTTGGAACTTTTGGAAACATTTCTTATACCACAGGGGAGGAGACATCTCACCGTTGCCAAGGCAACATGTTCCCCCAGCCCTGCAGCATCGCCATGGAGAGAGAACCACTGATGAAGCGTGGTCACCATGGTTACCAGCATGTTCCTGAGGAGGTCAGCATGGAGGAGAGTCTGAGCAGAACTCTGACCATCCGCGAAGACCAACGGGTAGGCTCAACTTCTCCTTTACTCCGAGCTGTCTGTAAGCTGGAAAGTGTTTCTTATGAGCTAGTCTGTTTTAATCGATGCGTTTCTCTTGCACTTCTGTGCAGCTGCCGTTAAGAAGCCTCTAAGCTTTCGAATGAGCTAGGCTGATTCAACGGGTGAATATTGTCTGGCACTGCAGGTAGAATATCTACTATACCCTGTAGACATCTCCATAATACCTTTGGCAAAAAGTTAAAGTTTCTTGCATTCCAAAAAGTATCTCGCAATCCATCGTTTCTTTTCCTTTCCTTTCTTGCATTAAGTTCCCTTTCTTCCTTTATCCACTGTTGGACTACTTGTTGAATTTCTTCTCCGCCTAATTGTCCTTCGTTTAATTAGTTTTCCCTTTATCGCCTTTACACGGATCACGCACGTTTCTTTTCCTCTATCCCAGGAGAAACTTGAGCTGTTTGTGAAGGAGAGAGGGGACGGTAAAATCAAGTCCTATGGGGAGATCTATTTCTCCGGATTTGGGAACCTCACCCAAACCTCCCCCGTAAGTATGTCCCAGTGTAACAATACGCACCGAACGTCAAGTGAACGAACAATGTACTTGTAATATTATCAATGTTGATCTCAAGACTGCAAAGTCACATAAAATAAAAAAAATCTCATAAGTCTATGAAGTAATTAGAGCTTTTGCGAATTTCTTGTTTTACGTATTATTGTCAATTTCTCACTGATTTGCATGGCTCCCACAAGGCAACAACCTCGCACATAGCATGAAATTGAAGGCAGGAGATGAGATAACCTTTTCTAGGATCTAGGATCTAACCTCCTGTGAGTGTCCTCGACATGCCCAATATGGGGAATTAACGTAAACACAAGCAAACACACAGACACACACAGAAAGCAAAGGTTGATATATATATTCAATCGGTTAATAGGTATAAATCCCTACTGACGTACTCATTCACCGTACCCCCCCCCCAACACACACACAGTTTGTGAAGGTGACTCCGGACGTTGACCCCGCCGTCCTGTGGGACCTCATGATGAAACACTGGCACCTGAAGAAACCCAGCCTCATCGTCTCCGTGGCGGGAGGAGCCCAGAAGTTCTTCCTGAAGAACCGGCTGAAGGACGCCTTCATAAGGAGCCTGATGAAAGCATCGCAGTCTACAGGTGACTTTAGAGTACAGGGATTCTGAGATTCTTTGTTGACTCAACAAAAAGTACAGGATTTTTTTGTATGGTCTTCTAGAATTAAAGATCTAACAAAGCTAAATACATGTCTGAATAGCGGCATCCTACGTACAGAATATATGTATGTAACAATCTTAAGGTTCTCAAAGCTTGAGGTCCTTCGCCTTCCAGCCGATGCCACTTTCAGAAAACCGCTAAAACTGTAACTGTAAGTACGATAACACGATAAGTCTTTGTACTGGGTAAAAACGGAACAGATATGTTCATCAGAAATTTTCATTTTCATAATCTTAAATGTTTTTTGGGGCCGCTCTTTAAGAATAATTAATGCAATGCTCACGGTCCTCATGTAGTGCTTTGTACAGGTACAAAGTAGTTACGAGACCCCTTTAGATATTCTATGCATTAGCTAGATAAAGTCCAAATAAACATGCTGTTAACCGTTTATTCATGTTTCTGTCTTCATTAAAGGCCATGCGTTCATATATAATACTTTGCCAGACTGATCAGGTACAGGTACAGGTCAGGACATGCACCTAAGCCTCTTTCACTGGTACCTAACGTTACGTTTAAGCCTTGGTCACAACCCGCCGTACGTGCTTTTTGTCTGTACGTTTTTTGGGAGGCTACGTCTGCTACGTTTTTCTGAAAACGTGGGGAAGGAGTGGCGTCGACGCACGTCACTCGCACGGTTGCGCAAGGTGTAAGAGTGTGGTCTGCACGCCACGTCTGGCCGTGAGCGGTTGCGTGCATCGTGCATCGCAGAAGCACGTACGGTGGGTTGTGACCAAGGCTTTAGGTACGCGGCACAGCAAGGCTTTAGGTACGCGGCACAGCTGTCCTGATGTGATGTGTTCTGTTCCTCCCTCCCCAGATGCCTGGATCCTGACAGGCGGGACGAACTCCGGCATCATGAAGTGTGTGGGCGAAGCCGTCAGGGACCAGGTCAGCAACTTCGCCACCTCACCTGTCGCCATCGGCATCGCTACATGGGGGTCAATAGACAACAGGAAAAGTCTAGAGGTACGTGGAAATAATTATTTTTTTACCCCCGCAGAAGCAAAACATTGTTTTTGCTCTGTCTCTTCCTCCCCTCTAAACAAAGAAGGTCAATGCCCTGGTGGACCATACGGCTGTCACCATGGTAACTGGTGCTGTAGCAGATACCTTGCGGTGTCTTGTTACATTATGTTCCTTCTGCCGAGGAAGCCTCACGAGGCCGGGCGGAAGGACGTCTTTCCCGCCATCTACTACTGCGATGAGCTGGACAGACAGAAGGAGACGGCTGCTCTGGACCTGAACCACACCCACTTCATCCTGGTGGACGACGGGAGCGAAAAGGTGTTCTCCGACTCCGACATCATACTGAGGACTGAGCTGGAGCAGCACATCAACAGTGAGGTGGCTTTGGGCAAAGGTGAAGAATTCTAAAGATTGTGTATTGATAAAGGTAGATCAGTAATGTGAGCAGTAAGGCTACGTTGACAGTATGGCACATGTGCACGACTCCTGTAGATCGATGCCTGATGAACAAATGTAGTAAGACCCTGTTTCAGTAGACACTTTAGTAGATGTTATCATTGGTGATTCTGTCCGTATGGTTCAGAATAGCGAGTACTACAATGGATTGTAGATCTTGAAGTCCCTTTGGTGCCTGTTTTTAAAATCTAAAGAACATGACTGATGCAGTATAACTCTCTCCAAGGAGGTTAATCATATAGTTTCCGATCTGATTTCCCATAAGTGGAGCCTTTTCTAGGATACAGGGAATATGACTGATGTATTTGACTCTCTCGACGTGATGCCAGATCTGGGCGTCCCTGTGGTGGTTCTGGTGGTAGAGGGAGGGCGGTACACGCTGAGGACCGTGTCTGAGGCGGTGGAGAGGCAGATACCTGTCGTCGTGGCCGAGGGGAGCGGACGGGCAGCCGACATCATCGCCTACGCTTACAAGAGATGGAAACGGATCAAGTAACTGGAGTTTTTTTTCTACATGCATTTCAACATTTATTACAAGACATCGCGACGGCACACTCAATTTTTTTTCAAGTTATTTTATGCCGCCACCAACACAGACAAACGCACAAACAGGCATACTCATTTTTACCTGGGGCGGGTCACTATGGTTACTGGTGGTGTTTGATTCCATCAATGTAGCGAACATAACCCATTTACAGGTTACCATGGTTACTGGTCAGGTGTTTGACTTTATCCATGTAGCAAGATAGAAACAGGCCTATATGTGTACCGGTATTTTGCTAATGTCTATACCTTGTAATTATAATCATTAATATAATACTACAATATTATCGATTGTTCTTCCTTCCTCTGCCCTACAGGCAAAGGAGAAAGATCACCAAAGACCTGTGGGACCGGATCGGAAAGGCGTTTGATCTCCCGAGTGATGAAGAAATGACGCAGGCAGCAAAAATGATCCTCAACATCGTCAACAACAGCACCTTTGTAAGACCAATGATATGGACTTTTCTGACCATAATAGCGTTATATAATGTCTCTGAAAGGATTGGATTTGCAGCAATCCCGTCAAAGTATTGATAATATCCACGATAAGCTTGTAGATTAGATACAGGCCTCAGATGAAGCACTTGCTCTAGGGTATATCCTCCCTCAGTCCTAGCTCCAGCTACGCACCATTACGGACTTCCACAACTTAAGAAAATTGCGTTTCTCTATCATTCAATTGTCTGTATGATATCCAACCAGGGGCCTGATATCCAACGATCTTTTATATTTCCTTGCGTTTAAAGAAGTCGGTCCGAAAGGTCCCCTGCATTTATCTTTTATTGCCCACAGGTGACCCTTTTCAAGCTCGAAGAAGGAGACACGGTGAACATTGACGAGGCGTTATTGAGGGGTTTGTTGAAAGGTAATGCTACTAGAAGTAGAAAAACAGTTGAAAGAAAATTCATCATGTTTACCTTCACATAGTGTAGCCTTACTACAGATCGTTTTATTCTTACACAAACACATTCATATGTATTTTGACTATAGTACTAGCCCCACCAACTCTGTCCTGCCACTTGCTACATAATGTAATCCAACACCACAGGGCGTTTGGTACAACACCAGTTAACAACCGTCATTGACCTTAGAGAGGTTAGCTCTGAGTGTGCATTTGAACTGACTCGGCTATGCGTTTAGACGCATTAGACATTAGACGCAGAGCCGCAGAATTCCATAGTGACATTGTGTACGCGTTTTCCAACTGCAGCCGAGAAGTCGCACCCCAAGAACCAGCTGCAGCTGGCGCTGGCCTGGGACAGGAGTGACATCGCCCGTCAGGAGATCTTCACGCCGAGCAGGCGACAAAAGTTGCAGGTATATAATAAATCTCCAGTCCAGGCAGGTCTTTCGGTGGCTGCAAAGACAGGATCAGATTGACCAAGCTTTATATAAGCTGTATGCCAGATGTTCCACCGAAATGGATACAGACTGGCAAATGGATACAGCTTGGCCAATTTGATACTGTCTTTGCAGCCACCGAAAGATGTGCTTGGAGATTGGTAGGCTATTCAACCTCTTCATCTCACGCCATTCGCCTAACCTCCAATAACAGACCTAGTCTCTCTTTTTACCCTCTTGGTCTCTGGTAGTGCTTTGCCGTCAGCTGTTTCTGAGCTGGACTCGATTTTGCCTCGAGGTTTGGGTACTCGAGGTTTTGTTTTGTCTGTTTGCTTGCAACCTTAGGTAGCGCATGCAGATGTGACTGTATCTGTAAAGCGGGTGTAACCGTCCTTCGGCTTAACAGACCAGCTTCGTAGGCACACGACTGGCTACATTACACGGAACAACTTGGAATACATCACACCGAACGATGTGGCACTGGATAAACGTGCTGTTTGCAGTTAATCCATATGTTGTTTATACGGTTGCTAGAGACGTTGCAACAGTCGATTGACATGTCGCTGATATTTTTCGACATTTATGACCTGACCTGACAGCTGATTGATGTGTTTTGACAGCTGATTGACAAGTACGCGTACATGGAGACTGCCCTTCTGCAGGACAGAGTGGAGTTTGTGCAGTTGTTGTTGGACAACGGGGTGGAACTCCTGCACTTCTTGACAGTGAAGAGGCTGCACAAACTCTACCACGAAGTAAATATCAAAGACGCACACAGCAGAAGACCTTCAGTAGTATGTGAGCGACTGTATGACTGATATATATCTATATGTATCTTTACCTTCGCCAAGAAGGTTATGTTTTCAGGGGCGTTCGTGTATGTGTGTGTTTGTGTGTGTGTCTGTCTGTAAACACGATAACTTGAGAAGGCCTTGATGGATTGTCTTGATACTTGGTAGGTGGGTAGGTCTTGATGAGACCTCAAAATGATTAGATTTTGGACCCCCTAGCGGCTTATTATGGTACTGCAGCTGAACTTCCGGTTTTGATATCTCATGATCTAGACATGCTATGGTATTGAAATTTAGATGGTAGGTAGCTCTTGTGCTGGGAAAGAAGTGACGTGAGTTTAGGCCCCCTAGAGGCTTGCTCTGGAACTGCAGGGATAAATTCTTGAAAATATTCAAAAGGGGATAACTCAAGAACCGGTTGACGGATCGTCGTGATTTTTGGTATGTAGGTAGCTTATGTGATGCTTAATATAATTATGTGACAATTATGCAAATATGGATGTAATTTGCATAATTTATGGGGAAATTCTATAAATCAGCTGCATTCCATGATAGGACAATTGAAGCTTGTGACATTGGTAATTGACAACGAGAGAAACACAGGAAGATATTGATTATGTTAAAAAGAACTTAATTTGCATAATTAATGAGTAAAATTTTATAATTATGTAATGATAACTGCTTGGAATTTCATACTTGTGGTATTTGAAAGTTAAATTGAGGTGAACATCATTAAACATAATTTATTGAAATCAGGACCTCATTTGCATAATTTATTAGGAAATGCTAGAATGCATTCTTTGTTAATATAAGACTTTTTGCCTTTTGGTTGAGATTATGATAAAACAATATAATTCATGAAAATTAGGTTCCTATTTCTTAAATCAGGGGGGAATAATCTAATCTAAACTTTGTCAGTCATAAAGATTAACATCATTTGGCGAAGGTATGAGATCGGGGAACTCTAGTTATATATATAAACCTAAGAAAATATTTGGATGCACTGGTGCACGCAACAGAAAAAAAATTGGGTGCACAGCTCCAAATTTGGGTGCACTTAGATGCACATGCACCCAGTATTTCCAGCCCTGGACTGTATAATGGAAGGTCAGAGGGCAGGAAGCAAGCATTTATTACTTAATTCAAACTGTAAACGTAAGTCATTCTAACATATAGTACCATAATATGTTTTAGTCATCCAGGTTTACATCAATAAAATAGAGTTTCAAACTTTACCACTGGATCATAAGAATTTAATTGTCATACGTTTCATAATAGCGACATTATGCAATTATCCAACTTTGGTTATTACGGAAAAGCTAAGATGAACTTGGAAATTAACTTGTATGTTGATGTCATCAAGAGAAAACATCATTTTCTTTTAAGTCTGATCTCATAGTTATTACAATAGATGTGCCTGCCCAAAACAGCAACTTAATCTTTGTGATGTTATCAGGTTACAACAAGTTTGTTGATGGTAAAATGTTGGGCATCTCCAGGAGACATGGGGAGAAAAGTTTGTTGTAACCACCTTGAACTTGGCTTGAACGTTTGTTTGTTTCGATCCCCATTAGTGCTTAACAGCACTATTCTTCCTGGGGTCATAAAATGAAACATAAATAACAAAACTTAGTACATAATGATG